ATCTTTTTATCTATCTATCTATCTATCTATCTATCCATTTTCCATCCAGAAATCTTTCCAAATTTTCCCAATAAATTAATAAAAATTGAATTGAATTAAACAAACGTTGAAGCTCTGAAATGAATATGTGTAAGGCTACAAAAATGAAAAAGTAAGATAGTGAAATAAAACTAAATTGCAAAGGCGTAGCAACTTTTGAAAGTCGACCTAGTCTTGACAAATGACAGTTTTCAAAGCTGCCTTGAGTTCTGTGCTGTATAGTATCTATCTATCTATACCTTCGATCCATCTCTCACGTTAATCTTTTATCTTCATCTTATCCTTCCATTCTTCCTTTTACTCCAGCATACAGGCCTAATACTTAGTATCTAGTATCTAGTATCTAGTATCAAGTATCTAGTATCTAGTATCTAGTATCTAGCGTCTAGTATCTAGCATCTAGTATCTAGTATCTGGTATCTAGTATCAAGTATCTAGTATCTAGTATCTAGTATCTAGTATCTAGTATCTAGTTTCTAGTTTCTAGTATCTAGTATCTAGTATCTAGTATCTAGTATCTAGTATCTAGTATCTAGTATCCAGTATCTAGTATCTTGTATCTAGTAAAGTATCTAGTATAATTTCTAGTATCTAGTATCTAGTATCTAGTATCTAGTATCTAGCGTCTAGTATCTAGCATCTAGTATCTAGTATCTAGTATCTAGTATCTAGTATAGTATCTAGTATAGTATCTAGTATCAAGTATCTAGTATCTAGTATCTAGTATCTAGCGTCTAGTATCTAGTATCTAGCGTCTATTATCTAGCATCTAGTATCTAGTATCTAGTATCTAGTATATGGTATCTAGTATCTAGTATCAGTATCTAGTATCTAGTATCTAGTATCTAGTATCTAGTATCTAGTATCTAGTATCTAGTATCTAGTATCTAGTATCTAGTATCTAGTAATCTAATTCATTTTCTTTCATTTCTATCTAATTCATTTTCTTTCATTTCTATCTAATTCATTTCTTTTCTAATTCATTTTCTTTTCTTTCCACGCCTTCTAAGTTCTACCCCAGGAATGAGGAAGGATGGTCAAGAGGGTAACATCACTGAGAGAGTCTATAGTCTGCAATCTATTTTGTGGTAAGAGGCGTCATGTCCAGAGACGTAAGAAGCAAGACCAGAGGCAGAGAGAGTCTAAAGTCTGTAAAAGAGTCGGTTTGAGGCAGTGTCCTTTGCCTTTTTTCGAGACCAGAGGCCAGGGTCAAGCAGCAAGTCCTTTTAGTAGAATTGAAACATTTGCCCCTTTTTAACATGTTATTTCAATATTTTACATAACATCCACTCTAATTTATTGTCGTAAACTTATTCCTACTGTAATATGCATTTTTTTCTTTCTAATTTGTTTTCTGTCCTTTCTATCTAGTTCAATTTCTTTCCGTACCATCTAATTCATTTTTTTTCTTTCCTTTCTTTCTAGTTACCTTTATTTCCTTTCTAAATAGTATGTATTCGTTATTTCCTTAGAATCTAGTTAATTTTTTCCTTTCTTTCTATGTCATTTTATTCCTTTCCATCTAATTTATTTTCAGTTCTTTCTATCTAATTTATTTTTTCCTTTCAATCAAACTCATTTTCTTTACTTTCTATCTAATTCATTTACTTTTCTTTTCTATCAAGCTCATATACTTGCCTTCTAATTTATTTTCCTTTCTTCCTAATTCTATTACCTTCCTTTCTATTCAATTTTTTTTTCATTTCTATTTAGTTCAGTTTCTTTGCTTTCTATTTAATTTATATCTTTCTTTTTATCTAGTCAATTTTATTTCCTTTTTTTCTAGATAATTTTCATGTACATATTTAAACTTTAAAGCACTTGATCTTATCTCAAGGTTATTAGAAGTAATAGGCAAAATTCTCATCGATTTTTTCACAAAAGCAGTCAACCTTTGACTCATGCTATGACCTCCAAAGCGCATTTTTACCTAGTTTTTAGAAAATGATCAAGCTGATTAATCTAAAGTATATTCTATTAAAAATAAAACTCTCTTAACATTTTTACATGCCCTTCGTTTATCTTAATATTAAGTGAATTCCGATAAAATCTTCAGTTGACAGTTGTCTCCAAAAAGTAATTTTTCTTAACACATGATAAGATATAATAGGATTGAAAAAATGTCCCTGGGTCATCTAGTTATTACAGGGATGTATTCTAAACATAAATTAAAACATTTTGAAAAAAATAATAATGATTTTTATATATTTATATTGATTGGGTCAAAGATCAAACTAAAAATTATTATTTTCTGAAAAAAGACTGAAAAAATTATTATTTTTACAAAGTCTGTTTTTAGAAAATGACAATTTTATATTTAACAAAAATTTCACACTTTCCCCAATACATCAATACTTTTTAGAATCCAATTCTGATTTGATTCTTTAAAAAAAATGTTTCGAGATTGTTATCTCCTGGTGAGTGTTGGTTGATTGACTGATTATAAACCTGTTCCTGGTTATATATACTTTCTATGTCAGTTTTATCAACACATACTTAATTAATGATCATATCAGCACCATCCACTGCCTATATCTAGGACTATGTCAAGCCTCACCTACCCAAACTAAGAAATATATTTAAAGGAAGCCTCTCTTGGCCAACCAAGAAATATATTAGAAGGAAGCGTCTCTTGGCAAACCAAGAAATATATTATAAGAAAGTTTCTCTTGGCCAACCAAGAAATATATTAGAAGGAAGCTTCTCTAGGCCAACCAAGAAATATATTAGAAGGAAGCTTCTCTAGGCCAACCAAGAAATATATTAGAAGGAAGCTTCTCTTGGCAAACCAAGAAATATATTAGAAGGAAGCTTCTCTTGGCAAACCAAGAAATATATTATAAGAAAGTTTCTCTTGGCCAACCAAGAAATATATTAGAAGGAAGCTTCTCTTGGCAAACCAAGAAATATATTAGAAGGAAGCTTATCTTGGCAAACCAAGAAATATATTAGAAGGAAGCTTATCTTGCCAAACCAAGAAACAATAATAGCTGGAAGCCTCTTTTTTTCTAACCAAGAAATAAGAATATTAGAATACCTCTCTTTTCAAATTAACCAAGAAAAAGAATAGAAGGAAGCCTCTTTTTTTCTGATCAAGAAAAAAAGAAACAGAAATATTATGAAGGTTCTCCTAATCAAACCGAGAAACATAAATATAAAGAATCCTGACCTAACCAAGAAACATAAAAATCTGAAGTTTTTTACTTTTATATATCTATCTATGTATCTATCTATCTATCTATCTATCTTTGTCACACAATCTAACTAACTGGACTGAATTAATAATTCCAATCAAAAAACCAGATATAGGTAATCTTGATAAAGTACATTTCTCAATAAGCATACGGTGTTGATCTATTTATCTATTTATTAATGTTTCAATTTATCTATCTATACATAAATATATCTATCTATTTTTCTATCTAAAAATCTTTATATCTATAAATAAATACATCTATCTTGACAAACTATATTTCTCAAAAAATATAGATGTTGTTTTTATCATTTCATCGTTTTAATCATTTAAAGTTCAAATTTAATTTTAGACACTTTTCATAAACCTCCCTTCCTCCCCCTTTTTCACTGATTTTACCAAGTTTCTTCCTCTGATGCTGCAGCCTGCATGGTCTTTTTTTCATTGAGATTTAAACATTTGAATTCAACACAGGACTTTAAAGTGTCGCAACGCTTTGGCGATAGGTTTTACCTCACAAAGCCTGTTATATTATTTTGTAGCCATAGACATGTAATTTTTAGAATGTAACGCGATTGTTTCTAATTTAAGTCTTACAGGGAGTAATTGGAAAAATACTGATCGTTTTTTCCTTGAGAGCGTGCACATCTTGCTTTGCAGTGAACGTGATTTTCGAAAATTCGAACGGAAATATTTGATTTTTGCAACATTTTCGAAACTACAAAATTTCAATAATTTCAAACTTTTATGTAAATTAATAATGACAACTTCGTCAAAGGTTTAAAGGGCACTGTTGTGAACTGAACACGTCACTTTACAATTGAATTATAATTTAAATTTACGCTTACTGTCCCTTTGAATTATAATTATATGTAGAAGTTTAATGCTTGCAATTAATTAAAAGTGAAATGATCGGCTGAAGCGTGGCATGAAGCGCTATAAATGTCTGAAAATAAATTTAATTTACACAATACAGCTCATTAGATAATGAATATATAAAACAAGAATAAATCATCCTTGTGTTAATTACCTATACCTATCAATAGTATACAAGTGTTCTGCTATATCTAATTAAGAGAAGCTAAAGTATAAATAAAGTTACTAAGGCTAATATTTTCTAGTTTATTGTCTATTTTCATGTCGTTATATATATTTTCATGTCGTTATATATATTTTCATGTCGTTATATATATTTTCATAACAAGTACTCGTCGGTATTTTTAGAGATTACTGTAGAACAAACAAAATATTATTGCAAAAAAACTATAGACAATAGCAAAGAGAATTAAGAAGGCTCTGTTTTAGGTTTAGGCATTAGCAAAGAGAATTAAGAAGGCTCTGTTTTAGGCTTAGACAATAGCAAAGAGAATTAAGAAGGCTCTGTTTTAGGATTAGACAAAAGCAAAGAGAATTAAGAAGGCTCTGTTTTAGGCTTAGGCAATAGCAAAGAGAATAAAGAAGGCTCTGCTTTAGGTTTAGACAATAGTAAACAGAAAATTTAATATTCTGTTTTAGGTTTAGACAATAGTAAACAGAAAATACAATATTCTGTTTTAGCTTTAGACAATAACAAACAGAAAATAGAATATTCTGTTTTAAGATTAGACAATAGTAAACAGAAGATAGAATATTCTGTTTTAGGTTTAGACAGTAAACAGAAAATAGAATATTCCGATTTAGGTTTAGACAATAGTAAACAGAAAATAGAATATTCTGTTTTAGGTTTAGACAACAGTAAACAGAAAATAGAATATTCTGTTTTAGGTTTAGACAACAGTAAACAGAAAATAGAATGTATCCCCTATGGCTGTTTTGTATTACTCTGTTTGGAATACCAACTACAGAATCTCAAGTAGTTTATTTATCTCCAGGAAAAACCGGAAGTACCCAGGTAATATTGAAAAATAATAAAAATATTTAAAATTAAAGAAATAAATCTAAAGTTTTATTAACACAATCCTCTTCTATTTCCCTCCCGGTCTTATTCGAATGTAAACTGATGTTAATACTTGAAACAACACTAGTCTATGAGGTTTAATTGATTTACTCTTCATATGAAACGCATCCGCCCACTCAGAACTATGCAACAGAAAAAACGAAAGTTTTATGTTTAATGGTTAAATTGTGATCACAGCTTGCTGAGAGAAGGAACAAAATCAAATTTTAATATTTTTTCGTTTTTCGATTTTATCAATATAATAAAGATGAATATTGTTATTGTAAAAATAAATTCAAAAAGATACAAAAATTTGTTTTAAAAAAGTCAGCACGAATGAAAAAATGCTTAAAAATGTCTAGTTCGCTTAAAATAACGTTTTTTTTTCAATGTTAGTAAAAAATCTTCAGTTCTGATACAAAAAAACGTGCAAGTTCATCCTTAAAAAAAATTTAAACAGAGAAAATTTTATCAATTTTGCTTAAAGGAAACTGTTGTGAATCGGTTTGATGCGATTCCAAAAATGGAGGGTCACTTAAGATTACATTTACAGTTCTTTTAAACTCTTTATTTCTATTTTTTGTTATATTTCTTATTGTTACATATTTCTTATTGTTTAATATTTCTTATTGTTTAATATTTCTCATTGTTTAATATTTCTTATTGTTTAATATTTCTTATTGTTAATATTTCTTATTGTTTAACATTTATTATTGTTTAATATTTCTTATTGTTTAATATTTCTCATTGTTTAATATTTCTTATTGTTTAATATTTCTTATTGTGTAATATTTCTTATTGTGTAATATTTCTTATTGTGTAATATTTCTTATTGTTTAGTATTTCTTATTGTTTAGTATTTCTTATTGTGTAATATTTCTTAATGTGTAATATTTCTTGTTGTTTAATATTTCTTTTTGTTTAATATTTCTTATTGTTTAATATTTCTTATTGTTTAATATTTCTTATTGTTTAATATTTCTTATTGTTTAATATTTCTTAGTGTTTATAATATTTCTTAGTGTTTATAATATTTCTTAGTGTTTATAATATTTCTTATTGTTTGATATTTCTTATTGTTTAATATTTCTTATTGTTTAATATTTCTTATTGTTTGATATTTCTTATTGTTTAATATTTCTTATTGTTTCATATTTCTTATTGTTTAATATTTCTTATTGTTTAATATTTCTTAATGTTTAATATTTCTTAATGTAGGGAACTGCGGGAGCACTAACCCCAATCTCTAATTTTGCTCAAGAGAGTTTAAACAGCCATGCAGCTCAAGGCAAGGGGTTTTCATCACTAATCTATTTTTTAAATAACTCCCATTTGGTTACAGTTAAAACCATAAAACTCTGGAATAGGAAGACGACTTTAAGACTCAATTTATGACTTTAAATAGTATTTTGATCATGAGGCACAGTAATTATGCAAAATGTAAATTAATTTCAGTTGATAAGTAATTAGATAACTTAGTAATACTTATTGCTTTTTGACACATTTTTTTTTAAATTCTAGAATGTCGTCTTTCTATTCCACAACTTCCTGGTTCTCACTGTAGTTCACTCTTTATCTAAATGAGTGTTATTAGCTTTTTATAGCTTTACTTGCTAGTACACTTAGCATTGCATTATTTTTTATAGCTTTACTTGCTAGTACACCTAGCATTGCATTATTTTTTAAGACGATTTATCAAAACAAATGTACCAACAATTTTGAATAAATCGTTTATGTTTAAATCTTTGGTCGGAGTACACATTTTCACAATGGAAAAAAAGCAAACTTATCAAGTCTACAATTATAATTCTTGGGAAGTAAGTGTAAGTAAAAGGCAAATATTTTTTTTAGTTGTTAAGTAAAATGTTCAGGTTTTTGGAATTTGAGAAATTTTACCATTTTCAAAACTGTTTATTCTAAACATGTTATTTATAACCTTAAGCCACATTTCGACTCTGAGAGAATGTATATGCAAAAATTCGATCCAAAAACTATCTATTTTGTTTAAAAAATTGCCCTAAAACGATAATGGCCATTAGTGTAAAATGTATCTGTTTAGAAGATACGCACTCTAACCTCGAGGACGAGGTTACTATGGAGCCTCCAAGTATAGATTGTGGAGAGGATCTAGATGTTAGCATGGAGGGGAACGGAACTATTACCAGTCCAGGTAAAAGGAACAGTTAAGAAATTTAAAGGGACTGTAAAGGAAAAATGAAAGGGGGTATAGGATAAAACCTGAGAATTTCAAGTTTTGAACAATAATTATAAGACATCTATCTTATGTTTCTGTCTCGAGAAATTGACATAAAATTATGTCAAAAATTATACCAAAACGGAGAAATGTCAGATTTTGTATAAAAGTTGTAGCATTAAACAGATCATATTCAACAATTACACAACCAATCTGAAAACGATTATATTCCACAGGAGCCTGAGAATCTCAGGTTTGCTCTTATTATAATTTTTTATTTTTTATTTAGCATTTTTGATAGATATAATTAATAATATTACAATATAGTCCGTATAGTCCGTATTACGTCACAATAACTTTAGCCAATGACAGTGCAGTATCGTTGTCACATGGTACAGACAGAAATCATGTGACCAGTATACTGCACTGCCATTGGCTGAGTACTTGTGACGTAATTCGGACTATACGGATTAAATGTAATAATATTATCAATTATATCTATAAAAAAATGCAAAATAAAAATTAAATAATTATTACAGGAGCAAACCTGAGATTGCTGTGAGATATAGTAGTTTTCAGATTGGTTGCTTAACTGTTGAATATGATCTGTCTAATGCTGCAACTTATATACAAAATCTGACATATGTCCTTTTTGGTATAATTTTGACACAGTTTTATGTCAATTTCTCCAGATAAGAACAGGTTTTGTCCTATACCCCTTTTCATTTTTCCTTTACAGTCCCTTTAAGTACCGAGGAAGAAAACAATTTTTAATATGTTTTCCTGCAAATAGGAGAAATCAGAAAATCACCTTTGTAGAGAAACCATAATTAAAATAATTTAGATTCAAAATTATAAACATTTATTTCTTATTTATACTTGATCAAACAAAGCTTTTAAGGGTAGCGTTGTGAATCAAAAAGAACCATCTTAGCATCCAGGGCCATTGGCAATTCCGCTAACAGTCCCTTTAAATATAAAGAATTTCTAATTCTAGGATATCCTGATAACTACCCTGCCTTTCTAAACTGTAAGTGGACCATCAAGGCAATGCCGGGGAAAAAGATTCTGGCAAAATTTAGGAAAATCATTCAACAAAATATTTGCATCAAACCCCGATATAGATTTATAAATTAAAGAAAAAGTTGAACTTTGTACAAGCGATTCAATTACTTAGACTGTTAGGGTAGACACATTGCTTAGCAAACTCTACATAGAGTCCAATCTACCTTGGGCTTCGATGTTATCTCACAAACTTACTTATATTGTTTCATAGCTTTACGAAGCTTTAGCTAAACCAGTTGTTTTTGGATTTATTTTTCAAGAAAACAATTTTCAAAAGTCTCATCGATTAATGCGTGAGAGCTCTAAGATCACTGTGACTCATGAGCTAAAATATTTTTCTCAGCTTTTACAGCCATCTTGAAGAACTTGGGTGGTTTTACATCAAACTTAATGATTTCAAGCTTAAACCAGTAAAGATTAAATGTCATTTATAAATTTCCAATTCTGATTTTCATAAATCTTTGGATGAGTTTAGTGAGTTTGATATAACCGCAAACACAGACTGCAGTTCTGATTATATAATTGTAAATACAGGATCGGAATCTAATAGGTAATATTTTACATTTACTTATGAGCTAAAAACTCTAGAATGAGATATCCTTAATCCTGTCTGCTTGATTAATCTGGAGATTAATAACAAGAGGAGAACAAGCGTAATTTGATCTCAAGATTAAGAAAAAGAGTCCATCAAGCATTAATCCCAATATCCACCATTCAAAAGTTCCCAGCCAAGAGGTCTATTATTATTCAAAAATAATTGTAACTTTAACAAAATTAAATGTTTGTTGACAATCAAAAGCTTTTTTATGCTAAAATGGTTGTGCTTTCATGTTCCACAGATACAGGGCCTAGAAAATTAGATTTGAGACAAATATTCAGTTGTCTTACGCAAATGATGATGATTCAACTAATTAAAAAGGACTGTAGAGGTAATTTTAAATGAACTTACAATCATAGTGGAATTTCTGTTTTCATCTTTGTCTGCCCACGAGATAAAGGATAAATGAGATATCCTTTTTTTCATGTAGGCAAATGCAGGCAATTTAATTGAGGTTTTTCTATAAAAGTGCAGTAAAGCAGTAAAGAAAATTGTCTGAGCTTTAAGTGGTATCGTAGTAAGACAAACATGGCATTCAATCCTTTAAAAGAGTTTAATCCTTCAGATACTGTGGTAAGTTTGCTCCTTCTGAGATTGAGTCTGACTCCGAGCTCCTAGAGATAGAGTTCCATACTAACCAGGGGGACTCATGCAGGGGGTTCAGCCTAGACTATACTGTGGTCACTAAACAGGTTATTCTAACATAAGCCAGGTTGTAAATTGTAGAATTTAACCAGCAAACCAAGTAATGATACTGATAATAATTCATAATTTTAAAGTAACATAACCTAGAACCTTAATAGCCCAGCTTGCATACTTACCAAGAGAATTCAAGCAGTACACCTTGTGCATACAGCAAATTCCTCATAGGAAGATGTTGAGAGATGACATTTAATACATTTAATGTCGGAGATGCTATATCAATTAGACTGCTGACAGTCTGAACTAAGGCTCAATACCATTTTTACAACATCATATCGGAAATAAAAAAGCATTTAACATACTTTGAATTTATTCAGTTGTTCAAATTAGGTTATTATTGATCGATCCATAATTCAATTATTCTCACACACAAAATAAGTCTAACATTATCAAATTTTAACCAGCAAATAGTTAAAACATTACAAATAGAAGCTATTCAGATTTGCCTTTATACAAATGATTATTTTTTACTTTAATCATTTTGGACAGATAAGCTTTCAAAAAAATTTAAATAATATTTTGCTTTCCAAAAAAAAGTAGGAACTCACCTATATACAACAGGAAAGTAATGTGAGTGGGGTTAGCTTGGACTATATTTTAGTCACTTATCAGGTTATTTCATTAAAAGCCAGGAGCTTTTTGTTGTAGATTTTACCCTGTAAACAAAATAATATTCTTGATAATAATTCACAATGTTAAAGTAACATAACCCAACCTAGCCCAACTATAAATACACCAATTTGTTGGATTCTTACAGGGGGTTCAGCCTAGACTATATTTTAGTCACTAAAGTGGCAATTTTAACAAAAGCTGCAGGCTTTGTATTGTAAAATTTACTCAGCAAGCCAAGTAATGTTCCTGATATTAATTCAACACAGTAAAGTAACATAACCTGACCTTACTAGCCCAGCTATCAAACCAACCTAGGAAATTCAAGCAGGTTGTATCATTAAGGTTAACCAGCAAACCAAGAAATGTTACTGATATCCATTTCTAAAGTATAATTATTTTGATTGAAAATATCTAAACGCCTAGAGAAGTATAGTGGAATTTTCATTTTAAAAAGAATTTCATTGAGAGTAAACATATATTTACTGTTTGAAACTTTCTTGTAATAGGTATCTTGTGGAACCATCTCATCAGATGTTCAATTTGAGTTCAAGTAAGTTTATGAAAGTTACACAGAATAGTTTTACTTCCCTTCAATACAGACCAGTCAAGAGAATTGCCCCCCCCCCCCCGCCCGCCTCTCATAATTTTCACCTAAAAAGGCTGAACCTGGGATGCAAGTGTCTTGGCTCAGACAGCTAGGTTCCTACCAGTGATGTGCCTTCAGTTGGTTTGTTTTTAATTTTGTTACAACAATTTTAAGTTGAACATTTTCTTTTCTTACATTGTGTAAAAAATTTGACCCTGGCAGAAGATTATACAAGAAATGACCCAAAAGCAATACTGGGGGGAGGGAGTCGTTGGGATCTAAAGAAACATTTTCTTCTTTTTCAGATCTCCCAACTACCCTCAACCATTGGAGAACAAAACCATGCAGTGTGATCTAACAATCAGCCATGATTGTAAAACTCCAATCTGCCAATTGAGGTATTCAAAGGATTTGCAAACTCACAGCAAATTCTAATTTCTCTATTTATTTGATCGAAATGCAAAGTTGTATCTAAAACTATGAACTCTGTAAGTAGGGCTGGGCACGTTCTGACTTTTTTGAAATCGTTCCGTTCCGTTCTAGAACGAGGGCCTTCAGCTAAATCGTTCCGTTCTCGTTCCTCTTTTTTTTATCGTTCCGTTCTCGAATCTTTAACTATTTCTAGATGATTTAGAACACATTCCTGATTTAAAATGCGTTCCCAACTTAGAACAAGTTCTTGATAATAAGAACGTGTTAACGATTTTAACCGTTCTTTTCAAGCAATTCCCGTTCCGTTCTTTTACTAATCGTTCCAATATTTTTAAGAACGCGTTCTAAGCGTTCGTTTTTTTTTCGGAACGATGGGATTGTTCTTGATCGTTCCGTTCGTTCTAGGCAAAGAACGATCGTTCCACCGTTAACGCGCCCAGCCCTATCTGTAAGATCAAAATGTGTAAGTTTTCAGGTTGAAATAATTAATTGTAAAGGTAGATCTGTGGTGAGTAATAATTTTTTAAAGATTTTTTTATTTCTTCAACATTATTTTCTGTAGGTTGGACATGCTTGATTTTCGCCTTGGTCCTCCTACTGCAGGTATTCATGTACAATGTACATTTCTTTAGAAAATTAGGTTATTTCAGTTTACTTTGGTTAATCTAAACATTATGGCATAAGTTTAGTTTATGACAAGTAATTACATATGGGCATTAATGGCGCACATATTTTGTAAAATTAAACTGAGCCATCAAGTTTTAACAAAAAAGAAGATAACATTTTTTAAATGATAAGTGAAAACATTTAATTTTTGGGGATTGATTGCATCATTGACATTTGTTTCATTTTCAGGTGATTGCAACAATGATCAATTCATTGTTCGAGCCAATGAGCCTTTACCAGTCCTCTGTGGAAACAATAGCAGACAGCATTTGTATGTTGATGTAAGAGGGAGAAAAGAAACAAATCTAAATATTCTCAGGTAGGTGAAAAAACTGACTAATAAAATTGATTAAAGGGAGTGATCATAAAATGAAAGGATTGAAGCAGTTAATTCTAAAAGAAGGTGATGACTCAATTGATTCTGAACCATTTCGCCCCTGCTTGCATCTTTTCTTTATCTGTTTTAATAAAATATGATGCTCCTTGTCTTGCTCCTCCTTGCAATCATGCTCCCTCTCCTTGAAAGGTGTTTACTCCATGTACATCTTTTTCCTGTTCAAATAGTCTTTAACTAAACTATATTGTCCAAAACTTCAAATGAACTTGGGTTTAGATTTAAACCAATATTAACCCTATCCCTGCTGGGGTTCTTGAAAACCAGGATATGCTGGGGGGGGGGGGTCAATTTGACCCCCCCCCCCTCTAAATCCCATGTTTTATGTCCAAATATGACAAATGATACATCATTAGAAAGCTCTTGTGCTCTACTTTTAGAATCTGCAAAAAAATTTGCAAATTTGCAAAAATTGAATTTTTTATCGCAAAATCCAGTTATATAGCAAAAATGTTTGCAACAAAAAATTTGTCCAAAAAATGAAAAATTATACATTTTTTAAAAGCCCTTGACCATGCCATTTCAAACATGCAAAAACTAAAAATGTGCAAATTTCCTTTGACAGGCTGTTTGTAAAAGTTGCTTAATGTACCAAATATGATTAATAATAAATCTAGATCAAATGATTCTTTTGTTAATATAATCCTAAATCATCAAATTTCATAAAGATACACTCTTATCATAATCTCTCTGATCCTGGCATTTTCAATATTCCTAAAATTAACTAAAGAAATCACAATCTGATCATTTTTAGTATGCCCATACTTCCAAAACCAGTTGGGGTGAAAAATGAATCTGATGAAAGCAGGTATACTTGTACGTAATTGTAGATCTTCAATCAAACCTATATGATCATATCACTTAAAACTGTTGCCCTAAGGCTTAGTTTAAGGGATTTAACTCAATCAGGCTATTATTGCAAAGCAGCGCTATCATTTTAATGTTTAAATGGGATGCATAGGAAAAAGAAGCATTCCCACATACTTCACTTCACCCCCCCCCCGCATTTCTCTAAATTTCCTGCTGATCCACTCAATGTACAAGAAAACATTGAGAAGCTGAGTATTGAGTGATCTACTAACCCTTTCTATTAAGAGTAATTATCGAATGGCTTCATGAAGTTGACCCAGACAGAGCTTGGAATATTCTAGTCACTCAGGTATGCCATCAGTACACATTTAGACAAAGATTGTATTGCTTCAATTTTAATGCAATATCGCTGGGCAGAAAAAAGAAGCATTATAGAGAGTGTTTTTATTGGCTTCAGTTAAGATAGAATATTACTTTTTGCATGCAAGCAAATGATTTTTAGAAAATATGAATGGCCGTTTTGGTGGGGTCTGACAAAATTTCATTAACTGATCTAAGATAGAAGATACCATAGTCTGATCCCAACATTTAATATTTTCAGTCCTAATGTTCATCCCTTATTTAGATTCCTTGCAGCTGTGAGGATTCTCCACTTCCCGATCCACCAGCACCTACTGGCAAGTCTAACATCTCACTTGAACAATAGACAGAAAACGCTCTGTCCATAACATCAATTTAACTTTGAGAGTACAAGGAACGTGACAAATCCTATTCAACCACAAATCGTTAAACAGAATCAAACGTTGCAAATATTGAAATATTTAATGGATAAATATTAGGCATTATTTATGAGTTTGTTGTTGTTGTTGGTTCTTTGGCAGTACATAGATCTATAGGCTGTAATGGTTCAAAGCAAGATGAATTGACTTACTGCAAATCACTTCCCTTTTCTTTAGTGTAACATACCAATTCAATTTTGGTTTTTATTTAATCTTATTTGATTGCAGGGTGTTTACAATATTACAAGGAAGTTACGGGTGTAATTTCTTCTTTTAACTACAATGGGAGAATTAGGTAAGATCAAATGCATAATATACATGTGGAGCAAACTGTATTTTTTTTTTTAGATTTATTTTTGTTAAAGATTTTACCATTAGTTTCATTGATTGTTAACATGTGAGACCCAATTGGTAATAATGCATTGTATTAAATTTTGCTGAATTAGAAACTATGAGCCCTGCTGGAATGGAACTGAAAAAGACTGTGGGAGTACTGTCTACACTGGACATCTGAATAATCTGGATTACTCCATCTGTATCCGATCTCAACCAGGATACTGTGGTATTGCATATAGCCAGGAAAATTTAGAACTTATCAATGTTTAAAGTAGTTAAGCTACAAAACAATTTTACTACTGCATATTTAATACACAATTGCAAATTTCTAAGGTTAAATGTGATGATATAAAAAAATTTAAATAGCTATTTAATTTTAAATCTTCTCATGAATAAATAAGTTCTTGTTGTTTGATAAGTTTTTAATTTTAATCCCAGGTTGACCAGAACTCCTTTCAGTTGACAGGTACTAATTAGGGTTTCAAACAAAAAATTTTTACTAACAATTTTTGACTTTGCTTTTGCAAATATTTTTGATCAATATTTTTGGCAAAAATCTTTTTAACATCAAATGCCACAATTGTAAAATGATCACAGTGCCATTGAACAAGTTGGCTCCAAGCAACTGATATGCTGAAATATGGTATTCCTATTTCCTCAATTTTATGGGTCTTACTGTCTTCAACCATTTTAATGTTACTTAATTGATAAGGTAAACTAGCAAATAAACTTAGGAAAACAATAATGTACTGTCAGTAAGTTTTAAAATAGTAATTATGAAAAAAATTTGAATAAGAAATGGTTTATCACAGTCAAAAAATAAAGAATGCGCAAAATTTAAGTTATAGCTTAAAAGTTCTGTAAAATAATGAGTTGCTACTTAAATATTAAACTTTCTCAATATAATCCTACAGGGAAATTTGAATTTCACGGGAAAAATCTGAACCAATCTGAGAAATTATGTAGAGATACTACATAACCATTGCTCATCAGCTGTTTTTAAATTTTAAATTATTTACATATCCAAAAACAAAACATATTTCCATTTACAACCGTTTTTTGGGTTAACATGCAAACATTAATTAATCTGAAACGTAAAATTTATTCAATCAAAATATTTACTTTTTGAATATAACTTAAAGTTAAATGACCCTTTCTAAGCTCATTGATGATTGATTGATAGACTAATTTGGAAAATGTGGGATTTCAAGATTTTAACCTTGGGTTAAAATTTTAGCTTGTCAATTTTGGTTAGTGAAATATTTAAACCCAGGGTTAAAATTCAGGTTTAAATAAAGTCAGAAGTGGCATTTAAGCTGAAACGTAAAATTTAAGTCGAAACTAATTGTTCTTTAGTTTGATACTCAGTGCTGTTAAGCATTTTTATTTTCAGATTTTGACTTAAAAATGTGATTTTTTGGTAAAATATACTTTTAATTAGTTTCATAGTTAAATATTTTAAAAACTATTTTGTAATTACTGCTATGAGTTACGGATGTTAAAATTGGCAAATTCAGTAATAAATCCATATTTGTTGGCTGAATAATCTTGCAAAAGAGATTGAACAAAATTTGAATACCCTGGTGCTATTCTCATTGTAAAATCAAAGAATATATACTAATTCCTTTATAAAAAGCTGGATTTTTGGTATGCAACAATTTTCATTGAATCCCGGTGGGATTTTTCATTAAACACTGCATTGAAAAATCTTAGAAATGCGCGAATTTTTTTTACAAAATTCACAAATTCCATTTTTAAATCAGTCTGAGCTGAAAACTTTAGAATGGGGTATCCTTAATCCTGAGTGCTTAATTAATCTGGAAATTAATTACAAGAGGAGAACAAGCATTATTTAATCTGAAGATCAAGAAAAAGAGAGGATCAAGCATTGATCTCGATATCCACCATTCTAAAGTTTTCAGCTCAGTTCTCTTTCAGCTTTATAAAAAGTGATTCAATGATAAACCCTTGGGCTACACCCTCAGGTTTATCATTGAATCCCTCGGGGGTTTAAATTTTCATTGATTCTTATTTGTCTGAGAGTAAATGATACATTCAAATTTTGTTCAGGGCTTCAGGACTTGAATATACCAACTCCTGTGAATGGAGAAAGTAACTGTTTTGATGACTTTGTCTATATCCCACGTGGGTCACATCCTGAAGACTCTATGCAAAAGTACACAAAGGAGCGGTATTGTGGCCAGGTTTGATTATTTCTTATCCATGTAAACTATGTCATATGTACTATGTATATTCTTTGTGAATATTTTTTAACTTTGACCAAAAAGTTAAAATTTGCTTTCCAGTAGCCAGACAGAGGGGTGGGGTATGGAAACTGAGCCCCCTTGGAAAGAAAGACAGATTAAGCCCCCTGGAAAAAATATATGGATAATGATCTTTGAGCATGTATACGGTTGATAGAAAATAACTGTCAGAACATCGAAATGTCCAAAAGTTGAATTTTATAAAAACCATATTAACAAATTTTTACACAGTACACTTGTTTGGTTGAATTTAAGGATTTCAAAACTTGTCTTTCTTAACTATATCTCTTTTGGAAACAAGGAACATTAGTTCCAAAACTAACCATTTGTGCCCATTTCTACACTGAGTGCTAGATTTGTTTTCAAATTAGGGATATGTTCGAAACTGAAGTACAGTATCATCAAAAACTAAATTCCACGCCTTATTATTAGTTTAAAGCTGACATTTTTTGTTTCATTACATAGGCTTAACCCTTTTTAATAAATGTATGGTGAAGTTTTATTCAAATTGTCTTGGATTTAAAGATATCCCATGGAAACGCTCATTGTTGGAAATGGGCCAAGTGTTAGTTTTGGAACTAATGTCCCCTGAAATAAGATGTTTATTAAAAACATTAAAACTGAAATTGAATGAAATTTAGCAAAATTTTGTATACCCAAAAGTTTGATTTGATTGCAAAATGTTTTTGTTCAGAAACAAAAATTCTACACTGTCAGCTAGTATTGTTTAAATTTTTTTCCATTTTTGTACAACAATTTTATACTAAAAATATATCAAACTTATTTCAGATATTAGGGAACACCTTGGCCAGCTCTGTTATATCCTACTCTAAACCCTTCATGCTTCACATGACAACAGATTCAGAGGAACCTCACAGCGGAATAGCTCAAAACAACAGGAATTTTAAATAGATAAAAAAATCATTAAACTTCCACTACTTCTGGGGGAATTCTTAAGTAGACATTATCCCTACCCCAAAATAGAAATTATCAAGTATAAAAGGTGGCAACAGAGAAATGGACCAATGTTACACGACGTCACAAGTGTCAAATATAACAAGGAAAACGAAATTTTCTCACATTGGCCTTGAAAACCTGGAATGTCTTTACTTTAGGAAGTTTTTTACTTCAATATTAATATTTGTTTCTCAAATGGGTTAACAAGAGGAAGTACAGAGAAATTATCTGTCTATGAAAAATTCTGTCTATGAAATGTCTTTCTATGAAATGTCTTTTTTGACATGTCATCTATGAAATATTCCAACACCGGACATACTCTATGAATTTTCAACATCAAAAATTATTTTTGCAACTAAAGCTTTGAACTGCTTCTTTAACTAATTCACAAGGTCACCCCTCTAAGTTATTAAATTCAGAAAATCAAACAAACCTTGCTTGATCTCGATCTTTTTTCTATTTGAATGTATGATAGGGGATTCCAGCTACGCTATTCACAACTTCCCTGTTCACTAAGCAAAGAAAGTGCTTCGGCATTTCTCTAGACCTCAACCAAGACTCCAGCAGCTGGTCCTGCCAAGTGCTCTGTCGAAGTGAGAGGACCTTCAGTCGGAGATTCTAGTGCAGTGTAGCGGGATGAATTTATTTTTCCTAATCTGATTTGTAGTTTTAAGTTTAAGCTGCCGCTCTCTATTTTACAATTGTCATGCTTATTTTATGTTGTCGTTAAGTCTAGTAAACAGGATTTAAGGACTTCAAATAGGCTTTTAAAATGTTAGTATTTGTTTTTAGCATATGTAAGGGATATTATGTTGACCAAAGAAAATATATGCCTAACTATATTTTTGTTTATGAATTTTTGTAAAGCTACAGACAGAAGGGACAGGGCACAAGGGCAAAGGAACTGATTACTTGGCACATTTTCTAATTTTTCAATCCCAAAATCTTCACAATCTGAAATGTTTACTGTTTCACGACACACTAAAGTAAATTGAACGAAATATGTTTTATGTTTTATCAATTATAACTCCGCTGATCAAAAAGCAATTGAGAAAAACGAAATTTTTTGAATTTCCAATATGTAATTCCAGATAAATTCGGTTTTCTTTTACTTTTGCATAAAATCAAAACTAGAGGAACTACGAGGTTACAAAGTCATAGAAGTAATGTCGCATGCAGTTGACCGTCTCCTTCTGTCTTTCTTTCACAGTGGTTTGATGAAGATTCATATTTTGAAATATCAAATATCAGGTTGCAAAGATATACAAATTAGAAAATTAGAGAATAAGGCCAGTACTCGGTAACTCATCTCTATCTTTATTTTTTATAAATATTTCTTTCCTTATCTATATTTATAGATAAATCTCTTTCCCTTATCTGTATTTATAGATATAAGCCTTGTCTCTATTTTTGTTTGTAGATATATCTTCTTCCTTTATCTTTATTTATTGATATATCTCCTGCCCTTATCTTTATTTATAGATATATCTTCTTCCTTTATCTTTATTTATTGATATATCTCCTTCCCTTATCTTTATTTATTGATATATCTCTTCCCTTATCTTTATTTATTGATATATCCCCTTCCCTTATCGTTGTTTATAAATTAATCTCTTGCCTCTATTTTTATTTGTAGATATATCTCTTCCCTTTTCGTTTTAAATGATATAACTCCTTCCCTAATCTTTATTTATAGATATATCCCCTTCCCTTATCTTTATTTATAGATATATCTCCTTCCCTTATCTTTATTTATAGATATATCTTCTTACCTTATCTTTATTTATAGATATATCTCTTCCCTTTTCTTCATTTATAAATATATCTCTTTCCCTTATCTTTATTTATTGATATATCTCCTTCCCTTATCTTTATTTATAGATATATCCCCTTCCCTTATCTTTATTTATAGATATATCTTCTTCCCTTATCTTTATTTATAGATTATTCTCCTTCTCTTTTCTTTATTTATAGATATTTTCCTTCCCTTTTCTTTATTTATAGATATATTCACCTTCCCTTATCTTTATTTATAGATATATCTCCTTCCCTTATCTTTATTTATAGATATATCTCCTTTCCTTTTCTTTATTTATAGTTATATCTCCTTCCCTTATCTTTATTTATAAATATATCCCCTTCCCTTATCTTTATTTATAGATATATCTCCTTCCCTTTTCTTTATTTATAGTTATTCTCCTTCTCTTTTCTTTATTTATAGATATTTTCCTTCCCTTTTCTTTATTTATAGATATATCCACTTCCCTTATCTTTATTTATAAATATATCTTCTTCCCTTATCTTTATTTATAGATATATCTCTTTCCCTTATCTTTATTTATAGATATATCTCCTTCCCTTATCTTTATTTATAGATATATCTCCTTCCCTTATCTTTATTTATAGATATATCTCCTTCCCTTATCTTTATTTATAGATATATCTTCTTACCTTATCTTTATTTATAGATATATCTCTTTCCCATATCTTTATTTATAGATATACCTCCTTCCCTTATCTTTATTTAAAGATATATCCATTCCAAATATATTAAGTTATATTTATATATATTGCCCGGGGAAATAAAAGAAAATATTTATTTTTATTTTAAAAAATTGATTTCTGAAGAAAAAAAAATGTTTCCCTCAGGGTACTCTCAGGGTTTTCTAAAATAGATAAAATAATATACATATTTATATATTAGCGAAGATCTATATTATATAGATAAATATACAGATAGTATAGATTAAGATGTCTCATCCCTTTTTCTTCATTTCCCATTTTCCCATTTTTTCTCTTCTCTACCCATTGTAATGTAAGCCGGTAAGATGGTTTGTTAAACCCTAATAACCCCCTTCAGGTTGGACTGTTGTATGAATCATTTGAAAACTCGCAATTCATGTATGGCAAGAATGGGTGATTTTATCTTTAGTGCGTATAATTTGAGTCTGAGAGGGGTAGATAAGATTGAGGATAGTAGAGAAGACTATCTCCGCCTGCACAGAACTGATAAGCTGGCAGCTACAGTTCAGATAAATAGACATCTTAAACATCGGAGCAGGAGGAAGAAGAAGAAGAAGAAGAAGAAGAAGAAGAAGAAGAAGAAGAAGAAGAAAAAGAAGAAGAAGAAGAAGAAGAAGAAGAAGAAGAAGAAGAAGAAGTTGAAGAAGAAGAAGAAGAAGAAAAAGAAGAAAAAGACGAAGAAAGTCTACCGACTATTTGTAAGAGTTAAGATAAGGTTCCCTCTGTTATTCTGGTGTATGCTATCTCCCATCTATCTATCTATCTATCTCCCTTCTTATCGTCTATTTCAGTTCTTTTTTTGCTCTAAATTTTGCTCAGTTATTAATCACATATTTACTTTTTAAGACTATTAGAACATAGCTAAACCACAATTGCGGTAATTAAATCAGAGGCGTATTCAGGAGGGGGGGGGGGCAGTGGGGCTTAGCCCCCCTCTTCTTGTACCCGTTTGTGGCAAAAACTCAATTCCTTTCATTGCGGGTTTAAACATTTAAACAAGATTTAAAATTTACATAATTCTACATTTTTAAAGATCGTGAAACAAATATATCTCCCCGATTTCTGCTCTGACTAAAAGGGGCAAGCCCCCTCCCTTCTTGAAAAAAAATTACCCCCCCCCCCCAGACAAATTCCTGAATACGCGGCATGTCATCAACAAAGATATCTAAAGAGTCAATTGTTTGCAAGCAAAGACTTCCAAATAGTCAATTAATCGTATGTAAAGGTTTAAAAAGTCCAATCAAGCCGGTTTATCAAGATTGCTTGATACTTCGACCCTCTTTAGATGAGAAGTGTAATATTGAAGATAAATTGACGCGATAAAAAGGTGTAACAAAAGATAAGGTCAATTTATTATCATTATTGATACATAAAAAAGGCATTTTTGAAAATATATTTTAAATGAAAATTTGATTTTGATATAGAATGAATGAAAAAAATTTGTTTACAATTTTATCAACACTTTTTGAAAGTTAATTTTGAAAGAATTACTTTTCAATTCGTCATGTCGGCCCAGGATTAAACACTTTTTCGCCCGTAGCTTTGGCGGGATGTTATGCTTCCTAATTGTCCCTAGGAATGACTAAAATCCCATTCAAAAATTGTAAAAGCAGACTAAATGATGGTAATCGCCAACAAAGACTGAGATGTAAAAGGTATGATTCGCGAGAAATGAAAGGGGAAATCGAATTCGATGGTGATCGCTATTAATCTTACATCTATATCTGTTGCGTCTATAAGGAGAAAATGGTTAAACACGACTCATACACCGTTAAACACGTAGCGTTCATACAAATTCACAAAGTTGAATCACTCACTCAGATCGTAAATAATTAAATAAAATTTTAAATTATTCATTCAGATAATACATTCTTTAATCATCTAATTCTAATCAATACATTCGTAAACAGTTGATATTCAATAATATGTTTTAATTGTTAGATATACAATATACTTTAATTTGCGGCTACTTGTATCTGCTCTCGATGCTTTACGGATTCCATATACATGAGGTCGTCATTACTGTCTCGTTCTTTGTGGGTAACTCAGTATGCTATCCTAGTTCAACGTCCCTGTAAATTAATTTTAAATAATATTAATACTTATATACAGACAAGGTGTGAAAATGCATAATTATAATGAAGGTTTGACAGAAAAAGCGTGGGTGAGGATTCAACTTTTATAATATTTTGCATCTTTTACTAGTTCTTATCATATTTTGTATAAAGGGACTGTTAACGTTATTTCAAGTAAACCTCTATACATTGAGCACAGCGCCCTTTAAACCGTTCACTTGGCAAACATTAGAAAGATATTATCCTCGTTTTTCTATCCAAAAATTAATAGTTTCAATTAGTTGTTTCACTAAAAAGGAATTGAGTTTTTGCTACAAACTTACATTTTCTAACCCCTATATCTTTGATATTTCAAACTTAGACTATTTTATCTACCAGAAGTAATGGTTTGAAATATCAAAGGTCTAGAGGAAAACGGGGTTACTAAGTTATAGGAATTAGAAAATCTGAGTTTGTGGCAAAAACTCAATTCCTTTCATTGCGGGTTTAAACATTTAAACAAGATTTAAAATTTACATAATTCTACATTTTTAAAGATCGTGAAACAAATATATCTCCCCGATTTCTGCTCTGACTAAAAGGGCATGGTTTTGAATCATGCATGCAAGTTACAACTCCAAAAAAGGACACGTAAAAATGGATCACTTGTGGAAGACGACTATCGGCCTACACAACAAGAGAAGATTTACTACGTGGCATCGAACATTCTAGATTCCCGGCCATGTGATAGATATAAACTGTTATAGATTTATCGAATCAGTTATTGATATAGTTGGATCTAAATATATACTGGTAATAATACTCGTGCTTCAATAGAGTCGGTCCTCTCGACCTCTAAACACTTCAGATTTCGTATCCAGTCCCTTAAAGAAAAAAATGTTGAATAAATATATATAATTGTTAAAACAACCGTGCTATAAGATTGCTATCAAATGTAGACTAATTAAAGCATTAAATCTATGCAAATTAAGGAATTATGTCACTTGGGAATTTTCCACACATGTAAAACCAAATACAGTGGTAAGCGATTTTATCAATACAATGAAGACGATTTTTGATTTCAATTTTGATTTATATCAAGCTCTTAAACAGAATGGATAAAACATTTTCTTGGAGTAGTAAAATTAAAGTAAATAAAACATTATTTATTTTTTAATATTTTATACTTACCTTTAATATTTTATACGTTTTATATGAAGCCAAATTCTGCAAAATAAATTGCAAGAATAACAAATAAAAAAGCGGTTCGTTTTAAAATAGAAGAAAAGAATAAAAAATTGAACATTTCAGACAGAATTCGGTCTTAGAAAATAAAAGACAACGATCCAACTCCCATCATTTCTTCTAGAATAAAAATGTGAATTTTTGTCAAATCTCAGCTGGAAAATAACTAAATGAACTTTGGAAATTCCTGTTAGACAATATACATTAATGTGATGAAGAAAAAACTAATTTTGTAATCTTTATACTAATTTGAACTTGTTAAAAGCAGTTAGAAATCTTTATCTGGTTTCAAGTTTTAAATGATAAAGGTTTAATACAAGTTATTACAAGGTTTAACGTTTGCAATTCGTAATCTCTTTCCTAGATAAAACTAAACCATGCATTGAAGATAAAACTCATATTTGTATTAAAGAAACCAGAGTAAACGTAGTTTCAAGCGACTCAAAGCTGTATCTCTGTATCTCTGTATCTCTGTATCTCTGTATCTCTGTATCTTTGTATCTCTGTATCTCTGTATCTCTGTAAAGTTACAAAGGAATTTTTCTACGGTAGGCGATTATTTCAATAAAATGAAGATGATTTTCGATTTCAATTTTGATTTATATCAAGCTTTTAAACAGCATGGATACACAAAACATGGAAACAAAGGAAACTTTCAATTTGAAAGGCTTCTCTTTTATCACTTGTAATTTTGAAATTCGAAAATTTGCTTGTTAACAATTACAACTTAAATAAAGAAGTCGTCTTCATTATATTGAAATAATCGGCTACCACTGTACAGAAAAAGGGAAGAATGTGAGAAGAAAAAAACTTTAACCATGTAAAAATTACGAAATCTTTAACACTTTTTCAAGGGTTCCGTCGTGAATCAGCTATGCCCCTGTAAACGGAGGGTCACTTAATTATAGCTTTCAAGCAAAAAATGACGAGAATTTTGAAAATTACTTTTTTTAAACCAAAACTAACAGCAAGTAGTTTATAGTGCTAAAATGTACATGAAAATGACACAGAAAAGTAAAAGATGGTAAAAGCCCAAGGCGTTGCAACACTTTAAAGCCGACACTGTCTTAAAAATTGATGAGCCCTTTTTTAAGCAGGCTGAATCTATGTGATTAATTACCACGACCTCAAAGGAGGTTTTTTTCTGGACATTACGACATGTGACTTTACCAAAAACACATTTTTGTCATCCGTTAACCATAGGATCTCTCCGTCCATCCGCGTAATGTCGTCTTTAACTTAAAATTCCCTCTCGGAGACACCAAACCAAATAATTTTAGCCCCGTTTTCTTTGTTCTCCGGTAACGGAGTCTAAACACTTTTATTATTGTGAACCCATATTTTCATATAAAGAATTGGTGACTTTCGTTAATAATTAATTGTCATTCTTTTCAGAAGTTTTAATATATAAAAACGTCTTAGGACTCTCCGACGGTTTTAACCTACAGATCCAAAAATAGATCGTAAGAATCTTTTCATTGTAAACAATTCATTATATCGATTTATATTATTATCCATTTCATTTTTTAGGAAATAAAGAGTTTCTCTGCATTATCGGCTTTGATTTGAGGGTTATTCCGTTGAGAATCTTGCAGCTATCCGACAACAATTTTATAGAGTTGGATTACATAGAATACATCAAAATATATAGGTCATTAACTTAGACAAGACATTAAATGGATAGAATATAAAAATAGAAAGGTCGTTTACATAGATAGGATATTAAAGGGATAGGATATAAAAATAGAAAGGTCATTAACATAGATAGGATATTAAAGGGATAGGATATAAAAATAGAAAGGTCTGTCACATAGAAAAGACATTTAATTGATTACAAGATAGATAGGTCATTAACATAGAGTCTTTAACATATATTTAGGACATTTCATATCACAACAAATAGGACCTTCATATATTGCATCAACATCTCTCTGTCTATCAATACATAGCACTTATATCTTTTATATACCCATCTATCCATTATTCTATCTTTCTATATATTTATCCAATAATCTATCTACAATCAATATCTATTTCTTGCCGATATCTATAACTTTGGCTCTAAAATTGTCTAAAAAACTATATAGAAATCTATCTATTAATCAATATCTATCTCTAGCCCATATATAGCTTTATCTTTTGATCTAAATGTCTATTTTTTAATAATCAGATTTTTTTTATGTGAATTCTCAATTTTGTTTTTCATTTTTTCGTTGTTGATTAGGCAATAAAATTTTGAAATTGTTAATAATATGAAAGACTAAAATTGATTCAGAATAATAATATCTAGAAAAAAATTGTTTTGAAATTAAAAAGCTAAAAAACCTGAAGAAAAATTGAATTATAACGTTTATTACACCTAGGATTTAAAATGACAATTATAACATTTAAGATTTCTATTCTTTCTTCAATCTTTTCTGACAATAAAATTCAGCGTGGGCCGAATACGCCGCCATTTTGGAAAACACGATGCCGCAATTCTCACATTTTATAGCGTCTTTCTTTTCTTTTTCCGGCTCAATCGTCTTCGGTTCCTGCTCGGGTTCCATTTTGATTTTTTTCTCCGGCTCTATTTCATTTTCGGCGGCAATATCTTCGTCGATTTTTCGCTTCTTTACTTGACCTGAAATTAAATAAAAATAAGTTAAACCAGTTTAAAAAATATAAATGAAGCAGGAATATTTTAGTTTTATATTTAATGAAAAAGGCCGGGGTTAAAGAGACTGTTGGCCTAATTTCAAGTAACTCTCTATGTACACAAAGGAAGGACATACTCATATGATAAAGGTAGATTGTGCATATGACGACATTTTTCTTCTTGAAAGATATAAATGTACAGAGATGTTTTAAAGATATTCCTATTATATAGATTAACTAGGTCGGTTGTGAACATTGGCTGTTCTTATGTCATTGAGTACTTGTGGTGTACATGAGTTCTGTAGAGAGAAATTTAAGTTAGTTTAGTCCTTCTCATGTCCTTCTTCAGTTCTCGTCAATATGATATATTGCTCCTGAGTGGTTTAATAATTATGAAATCCATTAAAGGGAGTGACCGGCTATGTATGGTAGTTGAACAGAGTATACAGTGTTGTGGAAAACTTCTTTCGGATTCATTTGAGATATATTAAACTTTTAAGAGATCTGTAAATCCTGAGTTTGAGCGCAAATTCGACGTTCAAAACTTCTACTTTGGGGGTGGATACGTTTTTAGAATTAGTTTTTTTTTTTAAATTATTAAATAACGACAACGTAAAATAAAGTAAAAATTATACAGTAATCTAATTAGATGCTAAAATCGATTATTTCGTTTTCATTATTATATTAAATTTCAAATTTTCTTTGAATTTATTCGCAGATTTCTTCAAATTCTTCGAATGTCGTCTTTTCAATAATAATTCTAGAAAATCTGCGAAAACTTTGTGAATAATGAGAAACCAGAATAATGAGATAATAGAAACTAATAATTGAACTAGATTACTTATTTTCGATGATAAGATTAATTTTTGTTTTCTCAACATGTTCCTATACATGACGTCTGTAATTTACTAAAGAACTTTTTTAAATTTTATGTCGTCGTTATTTGATGATTTAAAAAAAACCAATTCTGAAAACGTATCCACCCCAAAGTAGGAGTTTTGAACATCGAATTTGCGCTCAAACTCAGGATTTACAGATCTTTAAAAAGTTTAATATGTCTCAAATGAATCCGAAAGAAGCTTTCCACAGCACTGCATACTCAGTTCAACTACCTTACATAGCCGGTCACTCCCTTTAAAACATTAAACCACCCCGCTTATCATTGAAATACACTTTGACCCCTAGAAGTATGAGTTCGCGGACTGTACAATTCTTGGCAATTTTGCGTTCATAAGCTATCTATGTTTATTTATTTATCTATGGACATACTAGATTCATAACGGTTTCCTTTATACCTTTGTATAAGTAAAACTAATATAGATACTCTATCAATGGCCTGCGGATTTCAGCAGGCAAAAGTTGAAAGAAATTTAACAATTTTTAATCTTTTCATAAAAACGACAATATCCTGCTTATTACGATTCATATTAAAGGTTTAAGGGCATCATTATGTAGAGAGAATTCCACTCAATTATTAAGAAAAGGTATTCTAAAATTACCTATTAAATGCACGTAAACATGGTCAATAAGTTTCTCTCTTGACTCCTTAAGTCCACAAATCTTGCAGAAAACCTCATCTGACTCTCCGCCCTCCGCCCCAGATTTGTCTGCCGCTGGTCTCTCCGCCTTGCGGTCTTTTTCTAGATCAAGATCCCGCTTTCTGGCGGAAAGAAGGGCAAGCATTTCCGACAAGGCGGTTTGAGCACCCACCGAGTTTCCTGGGACCGCCGACGGGCTGACAGGACCGGCGGGAGCGACTAATGCCCCGCCGGACGCTGCCCCGCTAGCAAGCTGACCACTCTTCATGAGAGCATCAAGAAATTTCATTTCTTCAGATTTCTTGATCCCGGCGCAATATCTTGACTGATGAGCCTACAAAAGAAAAAAACCTTTAAGTTTGATTACTTAAAAATAAAAATTGTTTTTGAATAAAATGTTTGTTTGGCCCTTTTCTAAAAAAAGTCAATTTTTACGAGATTTTACTATTCCATGTTAGGTTTGGTTAAAGTAAGTCAAGGGAGGCCTCTCTTTGTAGATGCAAGAAGGGGGGGGGGTGTCCACAGCTTTTTTGACTTGACTTTACCTGTAAATTACTGATAGATTTGAAGCTTATCCCGCAGCCTTCACAACCAAAATGTGATGTCGACTGTAGAGGGTTCGGCATTCTAAAATTATTAAAATAAAAAGTCACGTAAATCGAACAAAAATTTCGTATACATTGAATTAGAAATATTTCAAATTTTGGAAAATTTCCCAGGAATATTGAAAAGGTAAAAACTCGAAAGTTTTCTCACTCATTATAGATTTTTTAGAATAAGTAATAACCTATGTTTCTAAAGAAAATTTTTACAAAAGTATTTAACAAAAGTTGTACCTTGAATTTTGCATAAGCAGAGGAAGCTGAGGGCTTTTCATCCCAGCTAGCAGAGCTTCTTGTTGCTTCATGAGAAGCTCCCTGGCGAGAAGCTCCTTATTCAAAAGCTGCTGCTGCTCCCTACCAGACCCCTGCTGCTCTGAAGGGCTGGTACTGCTACTTCGAGGACTTTTACACTTCGGGATCTGAGTAAAAAATATTTTAGAATAAAGAAACTTTAATTTTCAAAACTTCATATCTTTGCAACCTAATGTCCTTTTGTCGTAAATCTTTATTATTTCAAAATATGGAATCTGCTAGATCGAACATTTCAAGTTAGAAATATCAAAGGTTTTCACCAACAGGTTGCAAAGATATAGGGCGTTTTTTAAAGTTTTAAAAAGTTTAATGACAAAAACGTGTAAAGGTAAAAAGGTAAAAAATAAAAATTTAAATCTAGTTTTATTATTACTTTAAGATTGAAGGATAGGTTTAACAAGTTATTGGTAAATTAGTCAAGATTTGTATCATTTAAAATAGATTTATTTGTCAACTATTCGAGTTTTACAGGTTTACCGTGTAAATATCAACCCTGATAAATAGATAGATAGATAGATAGATAATTAGATAGATAATCATGGATACATTTCAGATAGCAAGAGAAATATATATATAAATAGCAAAATGAATAGAAAGATAGAAAGATAGATAGATACATTGATAGAGGATAAATAAATAATTATTGAAAGCATAGGCTATAGACAGATAATTTATTAATTAAAAAGATATAAATACATCTGTATTTGTAATTGTTTGTGTACAAATGAAATTGATTGATTGATTGACAGATGAGATAGATAGATATATTGATAGTAAAAGATATAGATAGTTAAATAGATCGATTGCCAGATAAATATATTGATGGATAGAAAAAATATCTTAATTGAAAGATAAATAAATAGAAAGCATGACAATCGCGCGTTATTTATTTTGAGCTGGGTAGTAAAATCTAAACATATGATCACGGGCAGCCGTAGTACATTTGAATTTCCGAGCCGGGTCAACCTTTCCGGTCCCAGTTTGTACTTTACCCAGCTCTGTGGACATGGGACTAGTCAGTGCAACAAGATGGACGCGGTCAGACTTTATGGTTCATATAGGTTGAATTTACTTTTACTAAAGGGGCAGAGGTGCGTGTGATTTAAGAACCTATGTCATATCATATTACTAAAATTACTAAAATTACTAAAATTACTACAATATTAGAAAACATTTCAGTAAGCAGACAAGTATTTTAAAACCTTTTATCAATTTTAGGAATTTTGCGATAAAATTCAAATATTTTTTTCTAAAATGAAAGAACCTGATAACTGGTCTAAAGTTTTAATTCCGTAACCCTTATATCTTTGCAACCTGGTGTTGTTAACCTTTAAATTAATACAAACTTTTTATTTAAAAAAAAGTTACAATTGAAAATATCTACAGTTACAAAATCAGGTTGCACGTCTGAGCGGAATAATCATGCTTTTTAAAAGTCCAATGTGCCGGCCTTGGCTGGGGGTTAAATAGCATATTAAACTAAATAAATCTTGCGATTATTCAGATTTATTTTTACAGATGTATCAGAATCAGATGTATCAAAACTGTTTAATTGACGGTAAAGTGTAATGAAAGAAGAGATATACCATCTGTAAAATATGTTCACGAAATGGTCTATTTTAGCCGATTCGAAATTATACGTGACTTTTGAAAATACGGTATTTAAAAACAGTCTATGAAGTATGAAAAATAAAAAATCGCGAATTTCCTTTTTCCTGCAAAGTATATCAAATTAAAAAACTTATTGTAAACGATTTTCATGCTTTCTTAAACTTTTCAATTTTCATGCGGTTTTTTACTCTGGGGCGAGTAAAGTTACGTATGTTATTCAATTGATTTAGAAAAGTTACTAGCAAATAAGATTGTGAAAACGTTATAATAACCAATGCTCTTTATTTATTTTGTAGCAACTACTAAATACAAGGGAGCAAGAAACATCGTAAAAACAGTTTACAAGCGCGCCGAATACTAATCTATTAATCTAAAAATTAGTAATAATAAGACAAATTAGTGATAGTCAGACAAATTAGTGACAATAAGACAATTTAGTGATAATCAGACAAATTAGCGATAATAAGACAATTTAGTGATAATCAGACAAATCAGTGACAATAAGACAATTTAGTGATAATCAGACAAATTAGTGACAATAAGACAATTTAGTGATAATCAGACAAATTAGTGACAATAAGACAATTTAGTGATAATCAGACAAGTTAGTGACAATAAGACAATTTAGTGATAATCAGACAAGTTAGTGATAATAAGAAAAATTAGTGATAATAAGACAAATTAGTGATAAAAAGACAAATTAGAAAAACTAGTATTCCCGATTCAGCGAAAGCTGCTTGACAAGTGGATTTCACTGATATTATAATGCAACATTGGCACTATTGGGTTCAGAGTATAGTTTAACTTGTGGTTTGGCACTATTGGGTTAAGGGTATAGTTTAACTATTGGTTTGGCACTAGTGGGTTCAGAGTATAGTTTAACTTGTGGTTTGGCACTATTGGGTTAAGGGTATAGTTTAACTTGTGGTTTGGCATTATTGGGTTCAGAGTATAGTTAAACTTCTGGTTTGGCATTATTGGGTTTTAGAGTATAGTTTAACCTGTGGTTTGGCACTATTGGGTTCAGAGTATAGTTTAACTTGTGTTCTGGAACAATTGGGTTCAGAGTATAGTTAAACTTCTGGTTTGGCACTATTGGGTTCAGAGTATAGTTTAACTTGTGTTTTGGCATTATTGGGTTCAGAGTAAAGTTTAACTTGTGGTTTGGCACTACTGGGTTCAGAGTATAGTTCAACTTGTGGTTTGGCACTATTGGGTTCAGATTATAGTTTAACTTGTGGTTTGGTACTAATGAGTTAAGAGTATACATTCCAACTAAGATTTGACACTTTTTGGTTAATTAGGTTAATCTATTGTTTGGATTAAATGTGTAAGAAGTTATATGTTAATTATGGTTTGTCATTGGGTTAAGAGCATATTTTCTAACCTGGCTTAGACACTTTTGGGTTCAATTGGTTATCCTATAGTTTATTACTTGTGTTTTGGCACTAATGGGTTAATTGTATATTTTAACCTGAAGTTTGGCACTTATTGGTTAATTCTATATTTTAACCCTAAACAATACTATACAATACTATACTACTCTGAACCCAATAGTGCCAAATCATAAGTTAAACATACTCTGAACCTTCACGCATAAATGGGTTAAGAGTATATTCTAACCTGAGGTTTGGTACTAATACATCCTAACCAGAGGTTTGGTACAATAGGTTAATTGTACATCCTAACCAGAGGTTTGGTACTAATAGGTTAATTACATATTCTAACCTTAGATTAGGCACTAATGGGTTAATTGTATATTCTAACCTGAGGTTTGGCACTATTGGGCTAATTGTATATTCTAACCAGAGGTTTGGCTCTAATGGGTTAATTGTATATTCTAACCAGAGGTTTGGTACTAATGGGTTGATTGTATATTCTAACCTGAGGTTTGGTACTAATGGGTTAATTGTATATTCTAACCTGAGGTTTGGTAATAATGGGTTAATTGTATATTCTAACCAGAGGTTTGGCACTAATGGGTTAATTGTATATTCTAACCTGAGGTTTGGTCTCCTGTTCCTCCTGCTCCTGAGCCTGCTGTTGCTTAACCCCAGAGCAATAGTACTTCTTGTGTGCCAGATAATTCTGATATTTGCTGAAGTTTATATTACACTCATTACACCGATTCACCGGCGGGCTCTTCAGCAGTTCAAGCTCCTGAATATAGATGGGGTTAAAATAAGTCAGAATATTTTTAACAGCTGGCGTTAATATCAGTCTGAGTATTTATTACAGATGGCGTTGATAAGGCAAAAAAAAGAGTTTCTCATCCATGTTTTGGCCAAGTTTGAACTTGGAAATGTGAGATTATCTCGATATTAAAATGTCAGTCTAAACCAATCATGAAAAAAAATTGTAAAAAGTTGATTTTCACGCCAAAGTTTTGGCCAAGTTTGAGCAAGATTTTAAAGATTTAACAAGTAAAACTTATTTCGTCTAAAAAAGTTCCCAAAAGTAAAGAAATTTCAAACATCCAATTTTTCAATTAAAAAACACTTATACAACAAAACTAAATGGCAATATCTATATGAATAAAAAGAAAAACACTAGGATGCAAGAGCTCAATTTTTAGGGAAAATTTCAGTAAAAGTAAAACAACGTTACTATTAACAACATTATCCTGAACAATTTAATTTGGAATTAAATTTAGAAATATCTTCGTCTCATAGACTATATTTTTTTTATCTCACCTTCATTTTGAGCAGGTTAAAGTGAGATTCGATTCCAAACGATTTCTTTGATATGTCGTCTTCTTTATTCTGTACACCGGGATGTTCGGGGGATTTGTTTGTTAGGTCAAGAGGAGGAGACTGTTTAATGTCGTCTTCTGTTCGTTTTAAAGAACCCTGAACCGGAGAGCGTGGTTGAATTGAGGGAAGATTTAAATGCATGAGGGGTGGGCTATGGGAGGGGAAAAGGGGCGGGGAGGAGGCAGCATTCATAGGAACAAGCATCTTGTACTTCACCTCACCACATTCTCCTCGGCCCATAGGATACAGATAAACCATCTGCAGGGCCATGGGAACTACAGGAACTGTTGGATGATTTGGAACAGTTACTTCACCGAACTGGAACATATTCCATTTCCTCATGACGTCCTCAACACTAGGAACCCGGGGACTGGTTTGACCGGTCAAGGATTCGCTGGATGTATTGTGCTCGTCATCACTGGGCTCGAGCTCCACCTTGACGAGGTTGCTGACGTCGCGGGGCTCGTCATCCATGTCGTCTGTATCCTGAGGTTCCTGTTTAACTAAGTCAGGCTGGGCAGGGGCGACCAGTGACTTCGGGTTCCTCTGCTTTCTACGAGACATATCCTAGAATAAAGTTTTAATGTAAGACAATTTTGATTTAAAAAAAATTAAATTTGAAAAAAATTCTTCACATTTCTGGTAATATTGACAGCACAAAGTTGGCAGATCACATTTTGGAAATGGCAGGACTAAGCTGATTATGATTATTAACTCTAGAATTATACATAAAAAAATTGGGTTTATGAACAAATGCGAAAATCTGGAGCATTAGACGCAAAAATAGACTAGAAGATAGACGGAGAGCTAGATAGACTTAAAGATAGATGGAGAGCTAGATAGACTAAAAGATAGATGGAGAGATAAATAGACTTGAAGATTGAGGGAGAGCTATTCTAGAAGATAGATTAGAAAAAAATGGAGAGATAGATTAGATGATAGACGGAAAGATAGACTAGAAGATAGTCGGAGAGATAGACTAGAAGATAGTCGGAGAGATAGACTAGAAGATAGTCGGAGAGATAGACTCGAAGATAGACGGAGAAATACCCTAGAAGATAGAAGGAGAGATAAATAGACTTGAAGATAGAGGGAGAGATATTCTAGAAGAAAGAGGGAGAGATATTCTAGAAGATAGATTAGAAAAAAGATGGAGAGATTGATTAGATGATGGACCGAGAGATAGACTAGAAGATAGTCGGAGAGATAGACTAGAAGATAGTCGGAGAGATAAACTCGAAGAAAGACGGAGAAATACCCTAGAAGATAGAAGGAGAGATAAACTAGAAGATAGATTAGAAGATAGACAGAGAGATAGACGGATAGATAAACAGAGACATAGAGGAAGAGATAGACTAGAAGATGTTCGAATATATAAAATATAGAGATGGACTAGAAGTTAGACGGAGAAATAGTCTAGAAGATAGTAGGAAATAGACTAGAAGACAGTAGGAGAGATAGACTAGCAGATAGACGTAAAGTTGAACTAGAAGATAGACTATAAGATAGAAGGAGAGTTGGACTAGAAGATAGACTATAAGATAGAAAGAGAGTTTGACTAGAAGATAGACTAGAAGATAGAAGGAGAGTTGGACTTGTAGATAGAAGGAGAGTTGAACTAGAAGATAGACTAAAAGATAGAAAGAGAGTTAGACTAGAAGATAGATTAGAAGATAGAAGGAGAGTTAGACTAGAAGATAGATTAGAAGATAGAAAGAGAGTTAGACTAGAAGATAGACTAAAAGATATATCGGATAGATAAAAGGATGAATAGATGGAAAGATGAATGATAACGATAAGAATATTGAATATTTATGGAAATCTTTTTAAAACCTTAAAACTTAAAAAAGCAGAGATAGCATTTTGACACGTATTCCTTACAACGAAAAAGTCACGTTTAAAAAAAATGAAATTAGCAAATATAGAACTCTGGTAAGTGAAAATGTGCAATGCAATCAAAAAAGGGGAAGGCGTTTTTTTAAATACTACCAATCTAATCTTTATCTTTAAATACTACTAATCTAATATCTTAATCTTTAAATCTATAAAATCAAAAAAATCTGAAATCACATGTCTAATCAAAAACACTCCTATAAAGACCTAAGACTATTAAGATCAAATATATAAGAAATTACTGATACAATTTTCATAGGAGTAAAGCATAATTTAATTTTGGCATTTTATTTAAAGATAGCCATACAAGATTCACAACATTGCCCTAAAGAACTTTTTCTTATCACTTACGCATGTGATATCTATGATTTTCTCCTTGAAAATTATTAAAGGTTACCATTGTGAATCGGGATATTTTCTACCTGAGAAGAAGTAGAAGAGGAGGAGGGAGATTTCCTTAAACCCGGAGAACTTCTTCCTGAATCCTCCCCCCGCTGTCCTAGCTGTCCTAATTGTCTGTCAGGCGATCTCTGATGTCTGTCTGCAAGGGAAGGTGTGTGTCTGTCAGTTTGATTTACCACACTGCTCCCCAGGGTTGAAAGTAAAGACGTTGCTGAAATTATTAAAAAAATTAAATTGTCCTTTTTTTGGTTAAAATAAACCTTATGTTTCAAAGTCTTTTATTTTTGCAAACTAATGGTGCAGATCTTTGATATTTCAAATTTAGGTTATGTGACCCCTTACAGAAACTTTCAAATATGAATTACCGAATTTCAAAGATATAAAAATAGGACAAAACGAGATTGTGGGATTAATTCAGTGATTTCATATATTCATATTTTGGAGAATTTTATTTGCAAAAAGAAACTTAAACTTCGCGGTCAATTTGCAAACAAGATGTTACAAACAAAAACGTATTTGCATAGGATTGAATAAAATCTGAGATTATCACAGTTCAGTTCAAAGTTGAAAAATTTCTGCTTTTTTATTTAACTTAATCTATTTTTTTGAAAAGGTTTGACTATGAAGAAACTGAATTAATTTTAAAGGATAAGAATGCAAATTCTGAAAAAATAATTTACTTTTTATTGTACCTTTTACAAAAAAGTTCCTAAATGTCCTGAAATTTTAAAGCCATAAAAATCTTTCTTAACCAATTTAGATACAAACATTGTATGCTTTTTTTATTGCAATATTTAATTATAATCCAAAAAAAAACTTTAAACTTACCCATTTTTGTTTGAACTGTTGAATGGTATCTCTAGTATTCAATTCAGTTTAACATCAAATAAAATACAGAACATTGTCTTCTACGCATTGTGGTGAAATATCAACTAACACTTTTACAAGGAATATCTCGGCGCGGACCGTCCGAAAATTCTCCGGTCCGGGTCAATTTTTGGCGTGTTCTGGATTTATATTCACCAGTCTGGGATGGAAGTGGGCGGTGTACTGTTCCGAGGCTCAACCAATAGGAATTGACCTGATATCAGTATTCCGATACAAGATTTGCCGGATAAGATGTCCGCTTATCTTATCGCCGATCTATTACTTTGGTGCATTCGGGGCTAAAAGCAGGGGGGACAAAAAATGTTGGACTCTTAAAAAAGTTATAACCAGTATACAACCACCCTATTTCTATTTATGATTTAATATCATAATATAAATATCAAAAAGTGCAGACACTTTCAGTTTTGCAAAAAAAATGCGGGAATCGGTTTTCAACTTTTAAGTTTTGCGGATTTTTATGAATATATATTTTCAACCCTTATAAAATATATTTTCCAGGGCAGCAGACTATGAGCTGGAGCAGTATAGATAGACTGATAATAGATTGGAATATAGATATGGCTGGTCTACCCAGTATAGATAAGATTGTATGATTATAAACCTAGGATCTATCTAACTCTACGATCTATCTGATAAACGCTCAGGGTAAAATATATTTCACAAATATACAATAATAAAGATGAATACATATTATGCCATTTATTATTTTAGAATTATTACAAAAAATACAATTTTTCAATTTAACGAGAAACCCCTGAAAAAGTATTATCGGCTGTATCTGAAAAGAAGGGGGGGGGGGGTGAGGGGTTTATATAAATTTATAGGGCGGTATAGGGAAATAGAAAATATTAATTGTTATTCTTGCTCTGAGCAATGATATTACACTATGAATCCCGATTCGTTTGTTTACAAACAAGTGTACTGCATTTCCTGAGTATGTTTTAAATCCTCCGAGGGTTCCTTGTTGTTTATCTTCCTTGCGTAAAAGTATGGAAGAATGATGATTATATTTAATCTATATTGGAAATATATTTTATTTATCTTTATAATATAACTAGTCTGCAAGCGTGTAATAAAAAGTATGAAGTATAGTTCACTGCTTTTAATCCTACAGGAGATACACAATTCAAATCATATTATTTTCATTAGATATCTATGCTATAATATGTATGCTATAATCAATGCTATAATATCTATGCTATAATATCTATGCTATAATATCTATGCTATAATATCTATGCTATTATAGCTATGCTTTTATTGGGCTGAGCTTTGACCCACAGCTAGCACAACACTAAGAATTAGACAGAGGAGGAGGGTAAAATGTTTGCGACATAACTGGTCCGACTTTGTGACCTCGTAGCTCCTTTAGTTTTGAATTTACGCACGAGTATGAGAAAAGAAAAATTATCAGGTTAATTATTAACATGTCAATTTTGCGATCAATTTATTTAGATTGAGGTAACAAGTTCGACATGACGTTTATACGCAGAATATTATATGCGCAGGAAAGTGCTAATAAACACATGCTTTCAAAGCTAATTAAAAAAGACTCTTTTAGTCGACATTAAAAATTTAAAAGGGTGCATTAAATTAAAGTAAGGAATTGAGTCTTTGCCACAAACTCTGCTTTTCTAAACCCTATATCTTTGGGTTCCAATGTCGTAGACCTTAGAAATTTCAAACTATAAATAAGCCATGGAATTTTTTTTTAACATGTATAGGTTTTACTCTGTTTTATTTAGTATTACAAATACTAAAGGGAGTGTTTAGATATTTGGATGAGGAAGCTGGTGTAACAAAAATTTATTCAGATACATCCATCTAATTGTCTGTCTGTCTGTCTGTCTGTCTATCTATCTATCTATCCCTGTGTAGACTGTATAGTACGGAGACCTACTATCTTGAATCTAATCTTAGATCTCATCTCCAGATACCCTTCCCTACTCTCCCTCAACCTCCAGTATAATAAACGATCTATCTATCTATCTATCTATCTATCTATCTATATATCTATCTATCTATCTATCTATATATTTATCTATCTAATCTATCTATATATATATCTATCTGTCTATTTATATATTTATCTGTCTATTCATCTATCTAATCTATCTATCTATATATCTATCTTTCTAGCTATCTATCTATCTTTCTATCTATATATAAATTTATTTCTCTATCTGTATATCTATTTTTCTACTTATCTATCTATCTATCTATTTGTCTTATATTTCACAACTATTCTTTATTTTATATTCATTTCACAATAATTCTTCATAAATTCAATTTATATTCATTTCACAATTATTATTCTTCTTGTTCATTTTATATTCATTTCATTATTATTATTCTTCTTATTTATCTTATATTCATTTCATAATTATTATTATTCTTATTCATCTTATATTCATTTCATCATTATTATTCTTCTTAATCATCTTATATATTCCTTTCATAATTACTATTCTTCTTATTCATCTTATATTCATTTCACAATTGTTATTCTTTTTATTCATCTTATATTCATTTCATAATTATTATTCTTCTTATTCATCTTACGAAGACGACTGTTGGACTCAAGTTGTGATTTTAAATAGTCCAATTAGCTGAAACTCAGAAGTTGCGTTGTGTACACATTACACAAACACATTTAACTTGATAAGTTGATTTTAAAGAATGCTACAGTAGTAACCAGAAATTTCTGGAATAGGAAGACGACTTTTAACCTGTGAATATGACTTAAGATATTCCAATAAGCACGGGAAACAGAAATTATTCAGTGTAAACAGACCCATTTCCTTTGATTATTTGCTTTGAAAAACAACATCAAATACACTTACGTATTGCTATAAAGTCGTCTTCCTATTTCGGAGTTATCTGGTTATGACTCTATCTTATTTGCAGCAGCATCAAACACACATAACCTCGGTTCCTTTCACACTTATTTTGGGGTCTCATTGGAGATGTCAACGCGATTATACAGAATTGTAACCAGACAACTTAGGAAAGCTTTTCTTCTTCGCTCCTTCAATTCAAAATTTATGCTCAAGATTTTTTACTTAATAATTGTTGTAATTATTCAATGATGTTTAATTTTAAATTTACTTTTTACGATTAAATCAAATATAAATTAAACAAATTTATGCGAAATTTCGTTGAAAAAAGAAAAAAGACGACATATTCACTGTTTTCTTGCTACCACTATGCATATATAAATATATATTTATAAATATATGCCTGTTTTGATTTGAATATATTGAATGAGATACTGATACTATCAGATCCAGTTTGTATCCTAATCTGTCTATCTTGGTCCAAACCAAAGACCTTAAATAAAAGACAGACCACAAAATATGTATTTTGTTATTTTGCGGTACTATTCTTTTCTTGACAAATTTCAATTTTTTTTTTAATCTTTGTGAAGAAACAATCTCAAGAACTGACGAGGGTCAACCCAGACCGAAATATATTTTCAATAAATGTGGAACTAACATCTACTTTTTTACTCTACAGAGGTTTGGTCCATCACCACCACTGAATTTTAAATTTCAATACTTTTCACGAAAATCTTTATAATTGGGAGAAAATATTCCCACAACCTCTACTTTTAGAGGTTTTTGAATATTTTCTCCCGAAACACTTTATTTTGTATGTTTTTGTTATATTTCATAAATAAATAATTTTTTACTTTTTACTTTACAATTAAAAGGTTGATTCAATTGTTGTACTGTATCGTTTTGCCTGATTAGTCTGCATGTGTACTGTACAGCTTGCTCAGGATGTTTAAAGTCGGCCCGGTACTTGAAATAAATCAGAGTTTACAGTGTTTCACTACAAAGCCCTACATTTAAAATAATATTTTTACGTTTCATAAATAACGTCAAATTCAAAAATCTGGTGTCATTGAAAAACTGTGATCTTTACAAAAATAACACAACATTTTTCTGAGCTCTAAAAACTAAACCTTTGGTCTACATCTATCTCTCTATCTACCTATGTTAGTATCTATATATCTAAAGTTGAACAACGCCTCGCCCCAACCCTCTCCTATCTATTGACACCATCTCTCTTTAATGAATGGCAGAGACACTCAATTCTTTATTAGAATCAACTTTATAGATTTCTGTCTTTCTTTCCGCCTCAAATTTGGCCGTTTTTAGTTGCCTTATTCGTTGTGATTTCAAGTAGCTCTTCGTTCACGCAAATCTGCCCCTTTAGTAAAAGTAAATTCAGCCTATGACCGTGTCAACCTTGTTACACCAGCTAGTCCTGTCCATAGGGCTAGGTACAGTACAAACTGGGACCGGAAAGGTTGACCCGGCTCAGAAATTCAAATGTACTACAGCTGCCCGTGCTTAGTACAGGGGTCTGTTCGATTAAGAACTAGGTACCCTTTAAATCCTTTAAATCATTATCATTTTGCTAAATGAAAAAGAAATCCTGATGCTTCTCTTCGTAAACTGTTTATATTCAGTAGCTCTGTAAAACAGATTGCAGATTTATGCAATAGTGATGTTCCGTAAAACAGATTGCAAATTTATTAATTAGTGACTTATTTGTGAAACTGATTGCAGATTTATTAATCAGTGATTTTTCTGTTTAACAGATTGCAGATTTATGCAATAGTGATTTATTCGTAAAACAGATTGTAGACTTATGCAATAGTGATTTATCTGTAAATTAGCTTGCAGATTTATGCAATAGTGATTTATCCGTAAAACAGATTACAAATTTATTAATTAGTGACTTTTTGTGAAACAGATTGCAGATTTATGCAATAGTGATTTATCTGTAAAACAGATTGCATATTTATTAATTGTGTGATTTATCTGTTAAACAGATTACAAATTTATGCAATCATGATTTATCTGTAAAACAGATTGCAGATTTATGCAATAGTGATTTTCCATGAAACAGATTGCAGATTTATGCAATAGTGATTTTCCATGAAACAGATTGCAGATTTATGCAATAGTGATTTATCTGTAAAACAGCTTGCAGATTTTGCAATAGTGATTTATCTGTAAAACAGCTTGCAGATTATGCAATAACAGGCACTTTTAAAAAT